GTCCTAGGATTTGGGTTACTGCAAACACCCGAAGGCCCTATGGTGTGCTACACTTAGAAAAATTTTCTAAGTCCTAATTGCTGCTGAACCCTCGGTTGCATATCCAGCAGAGGGTGCCCAACTACCGAAGGCTTCCAAGGGCAAGCTACAATCGAAAGATATTCTAAGTCCTAAAACATGCATTCAAGAAGGAGGAGGCATACATTCAAAACATAAGGCGCATTCAAATGTAAAAAGCCCGGGGGCAGCATGCATTCATCAAAAACAAAGTGAGTGTGAAATTTACAAACAGGCCGAAGCCGAAGGATCAAAGTTGTTCATTACAAAATATATTCAAGGATTTCTAAGTACAAAGTCATTCTACAACTACAACAGCATCATTCACCGGGGCGCCCTCTGCAGCCGGCCTCGATGATGCCTCCGCTCCGGTCTCGACAGCGTCGTCCTCGGCCTCATTCTTCAACTCCGTGTCCTCAAGGTCGGGCCTCTGAACACCTTCCGGGAGCGACTCACGGACATCAGGCTGCAGGGGAGGAAGGCCATACGCCGAGGGGGAGAAGTCCTTTTGCTCAATGCCCAAATGTCGGGCCATCCTCCGGTAGATGAGGGCCTGGGTGAAGAATTCACCGGCTTCATAGTACTCTCTGCCCTTCCGGGCCATCCATTCCCACCCAGGGCCCTCGGCCCATTCCTCGACGTGTGCCTCCACAACCGAGGACAGCCACATCTTGCGTCCCTCGGCCCTCCAGCCCTCGGCGACGAAGGCATCAACGACTTCCTCCCGAGCCTTGGCGACGGCCAGCGCCTTGGAGTCCTCGGCCTCTTTGGCAGCCCTCCTGGCCTCCTCAGCAGCGGCCTCAGCGTCAGCCTTGCCCTTCTCTGCGGCCTCCAATCTCTGCTCCATTTGCCGAAGCTCCTCTTCCAGCCTGGCCCCCAGCTTCACCGCCTCTTTATTTTTGAGGATGCATTCCCTCATCTTGGCATCCTGCTCGGCTTTATGGAGGCGCCATTCTTGAAGCCTCCGGGCATGTTCACCGAGGGCTAGACAAGCCTGCAGACCAACAACCAAAATGGTTAAAAACTATTGCACAATATAATCAAAGGAGAAAAGGAGGAAAGCTGAGTAAACACTTACAGAAAGGGAGGAGCGGAGGATGTGGTCCTCGAGGGCCGCATCGTTATAAGCCCCGAGGGCAGCCCTATCAGTCTCAGGGGTTATGCCCCTCAAGATGGCCCCCGGGTCGACAGCGCCGCTGGCCAGGGATGTACCCCTCGGGAATGAGACTTGGAGGACCTCAGGCAGCAACTCCTCTGCCCCCGCCGGCGTTTCACCCGACGGTTTCTCCACATGCACCCCGGAGGCGGGGTGCTCATCAGCGACAATGACCGGGGGCTCCTTCTCGGCGACATCCCCCTTCTTCGGCTTTTTGGTAGCCGGGGGGGACCCCTTGGTCACTGCCTTCCTCTTGCCGGCAGCGGCATCGCCCTCGGCTTTCTTAAAGAGGGCAGTGGCGGGCTTCTGGCTGCCCTGTCCTGACCCCTTCGGGTCCTGTTTCTTCAGACGAGCAAGGCCCTTTACGTTCACCATAGAGACGGGGATACCTGCACAAAGGAGACAAAGGGTTAGTCCGACGGGTCTAAGCGAAGGGACAATAACATCCAAGCAAAAAAAAAAAACTAAGTACAAAATTCTAAAGCCCTCGGCTCCTACCTCCGGCCCCTCCGAAGGCCTTGTTGAAGGGAGGGTACTTTTCATCGGTCTCCCCTATGAAGCGGTACCTCCGGAACCCGAGGGTGTATAAATCCTCCTCGAGGGTGCAGTCTTTGATCGCCACGTTCTTATTTTTCCCCTCCGGGAACTTGGCCAGCTTTAGGCCGTCTTTCTCGAGAGCGGCACTCCTGATCTTTTCGTGCCTTCGGAATCGATCACGCAGCTCCCTCGGGAATGGGCTCTCATCCAACTTTACGTAGCACCATCGTTCCCTCCATCCTTTGTTGGAAGAAGGAGCATCGGAGAATAGTTTGAAGCGGGCAATCTGCTGCAGGTTGGCGTACCCCTCGCCGTTTTCGTGCCCCCCCGGCACAAATTAAAGCTCTGGAAGAATAGATCCAGGCTGGGTTTCACCCCTCGGGACTTGCAGAGCTGGAGGAACCCCGCAATGTAGGAGTGGCTGTTGGGCGTGAGTTGGCAGGGGACCAAGCCAACAAACCTCAAATATTCCCGGAGGAATGGGTGCAGAGGGAACCTAAGTCCCATGGAAACCGAAAGGACGTGAATAGCGATACACCCCTCGGGCGCCCTGGACAACACGTCGTCGGGACCTGGCTCCACCACTTCGGCCGAGGGCCCCACGTGCAGCTGAGTCACGTACAGATATGCCCTGTCAGCCTTCGACCTGATCTCGAGGGCCTCAGTGTTCAGCCAACTGTACCCCTCGGGCATGTCCACGGGCTTTCCTTGATCGACGGCCCTCTCCTTCTTCTTGGTAGCGGCCTTCTTCTTCTTCAAACCGGAAACCGCCCTCAGAGGTATCGGATCCAACGGACTCGAGCTACTGGCCTCCCCGGAACCCCGAGGGGGGAGAACAACAATCGTAACCTTCGAGCTCTCATTCTGTGCCCCATCCTCCGCTGTCTGCCATGCGAGGGCTAAGTCTTCATCATCGCACTCCTGCTCGAAGCCCTCGGCTTCAACCTCCGCAATGAGTTCCTTCTGGACCTCCCGGGCCAGGGCTGCATCACCACCATCCGAGGGTTGACCACTGCTTGACTCCACGTCGGAGAGGCCTTCGTCCTCCATCGAGGGCGTCCTCGAGATATCTTGAGAATCACTCTGGGACGACATTCGCACTCTAGTTCGAGGGCTCGTAGACGGTAAGTGTTTCCTAACTTTTCTATCTCCTAACCTAAGGGCACAGTACAACTATGCTAGAAGGAGAAAGGCAGGGAGCACTGACCTCGAAAGCTGAGTTAGGACCGAAGGCTGGAGTTTCTCTCACTAGATTTTTTGGCAGAGCTTCGCTAAAACAACTGAGTTCGCACAGCGGGAATGGCTCTGGCCTTGGGGTATTTATAGGCGATGGAATCCGGGCCTCCGGACGGACCGTCATCATTACACACCGTCGTTTCGCCCAACCGGTGACGCCGCCCACGAACAGCCAGCCATCACACGCCACGTGTGCCACCCCCCCAACGGCTATATCCTGTCGTTACATATTCCAACGGCTATATTTCCAACGGCTATATTCTGGAAGCCCCCGGGTTTTCTACTTCACTCCTCTTCATCAAGGATAGCCTCCGAGTACACTCACTCAGAAGTGCCCCCGGGTTGAGCCCCGCACAGCACATAACAGTCGCCTTCGGGATCACTCCTTCAGAACCCGAGGCTTCATATCAGAGCACCCCTCGGGAATTCCCCCTCAGCACTGCAGAACCGGGTAGCCCCCGGGGAGTTGCCTTCATTGACGGATAACCCGTCGCACGCAGGTAATGGGAGCCCTCGGGTATCTTCATCGCCAACTAATCAACAAACAGTGGATCCCCCCGGTAACAACTTCATTGCCGCCCTCATCCAGCAGGCCCTCGATCCACGGATTGAGGGGCTCCCCTTCGGCGCCACCAGGGCATCAACAGCAAGCCTTCGGGCAATCAACACAGGAGCCCTCAGAAGAGAGAGCCTTCGGCATTCCCGTTATTCTCCATATTACCAAGGTTTGACATTTTCGATTCATCATTGGGGGAATTCGGTGCACTCTTTTTCCCTCATTAGGAAAAGCGTCAGCCTTCGGCCCACAACAGCAACGTAACTACTTTACTCCTTTTCACCACTCTACAAGTGCCTCAAGGAGTGGGGGACTGGAGGACCCCCTCGGGAAAATCATTAAATTACAAAATCTGTGAAATTCCAACAAACAACAAAGCAAGCCCTCAAGTCCCGACATGTGGGTAACTGAGGGACTGCCTTCGGCAGGGACACAAAAGTAACAACTCCTCACCAACTTCAGAGATCACGACGGGACAACATCAAAAGGCAAGCACAAGTTACTCCTTTTCCCTCAAGTACCTTTCGGCAAAAGGAGTGAGGGACTCCTGATGGAGTATATGGCCCGGGAACCCCCGGCCCACAGACTCCTACTACTCCAGCGAAGGCCCAACAGGCCCAACAGGCCCAAATCACAGCGCCCAGAGTACCAAGCAGTCCGCACAACGCGCCAGGGGTGCCTTCGGCCCCCTGGCCGAAGGCTCCAAATTCTCACAGAACAGGTTTCTCAAGCAAACTAAGAAACTGGGAGAAAACGGCGAAAACAGCAGCCCTCGGCACTGTGAGCCCTCGGCACCAGGGGTGCCATCGGGTGGAAGAGTCCTCGGCTACTGCTCTATAGCCGAAGGCGTCTCACTCGACAAGATATCCGCCTCACATGCGTACAGATCACCGTACCCCGCACAGACGTCCCATCCAACAGCCGCATTAAATGCGGCCACATGCGGCTGCCAGCGCCAACCAGTTGAGGTGACCCCTCGGCCAATGAGCGCTTGACACGTGTCCCTGCCCGGCATTTATTGCTACTATAAATAGCATCCCATTTCCCCATTTGTAACCAAGTCATAACACGCTGAAAACACTCCGCATTTATAATACATTTTCTCTCTCTACTTTTACTTACTTGCTCTGACTTCTCTCTAAGTTACTCCCCGTAATAACCCTTCGGATATATACCCCCGGGTAGACTATCCATCATTACTAACTAGGCGACTATGAACTACTACCTCCGTCCCGGTGGACTTTGCCAACTGCAAAGTAGGTGAGAAATAAGAATAGTTAAAACTGTGTGGTTGAGATTTGTGCAGAGCAGAGAGAAATGACCAGAACCACAAATTAGTTGCTTTAATAGGAAAGTGGTAAAGTTTTTTGGGAAAACCAAAAAAGGAAAGTTGACAAAGTCCAATGGCACGGAGGGAGTACTTATTAAATCTCGTTTTTGACGGTATTTAACTAACTAGGCGACTATGAACTACCAAGTGTATATTCCTGCGTACTCCATCTCCGCTCAACATCTGGCCTATCTGTCTCTTTCAATCCTCGCGGCTGCTCAACACGGCCATCCTGGGACGGAGTTTTTAATATTTTACATCTCCGCTGCTCAATAGTAAGGTTCGCATTCTCTCAGACTGATTCGATTTTTCTTTGAAGTTTGTGTGAGATATGGATTTTATACCTGGTACTTAGCTAGTCATGTGCTTCTTCGCATGATTTTTGCTTCAATTTGTTATTTATTTGCATGGAATCACTGTTCGGTGTTCAGATTTGAGATTTCAGATTCATTTCAGATCATGGATATGTTATTTCAAGATGAAGGTCGTTTTCTTGAAATTATGCTCATACATGGGGTTATTTTGATCCAATGTGCTTCTAATTTTAACATGACTATCAGTTTCCCTTTATTAAATTATTGGATTGCTCCCCCAAATCCCTCCCAATGATATTTTGTTGTGAAACTTAGTCATAGTAGGGTAATAAGACCAGATTAACTACAAGTTAGTAGACTTTCTCAATGGAAAAGAATGGCAGTTTGGGGTATGTGTTCCCCTATAAATCTAAAGTCGCACGATTCAGACTAGATGTTAGGTCTTGGGAGTTGGGATACCCTCTGAGAAAAATGCATGGTACATATGATTTGTGAAGGGTGTTTGTCCCTACCTAAGTGATAGGATTGTCAAGATTGCTAATTATGAAATAACTAATCAACGTACAACACATTTTTCTACTTGAACCTGGTTAATCTGAAGATAAAGTCTCAAGTTTTAATGTATATTATAGAAATTTTACCTGAACTCTTTAATTACTCAATTCACTTCATGTACGTGTATAATTTGTGGTCTGTTTTTCAAGTTTATAATGGATGAGCAAGTCTTCCTTCAATACCTTTGCTAAGTAGTTAAAGCGTTGCATAAGGCTGATATAATCAGTTATGTTTTGTGTTTCACGTCCCTGTATTGGCTACCGTCTTATAAACAATCTAAACCACCCTAGGTTCAATTGTCATTTTAGTATAATGTGGATGGTTTGTAGGTTGGATGTTAACACCTTTCCTACGTGATCACCTTCAAGATTTTGTATCTCCTGGACTCCTGGCTCCATTTCCAAATCTGAATGGCTCATTTGCCAATTTTTTTGCCTAATTTGAACAATTTTAGTTGTTTGACTTTCATGGTTGCCTTCTTTTGCCTTTTATCCTCTTTGAATAATTAGATACATAAACATGAATAAATAATTAGAAACATTCTAATAGTAATATTCTTAAAATGTGTTCAAATAGGTAATTAATAAGTGATTGGTTATTTTGTATAAAAATTTAAAATTTAAAAAGTACTCCCTTTGTTGAGTTTGTTCCCATTAGTGTGACAACCACTCTACGTTTATCAATTTTTCTCATTCCTTTTATCTGGCCATTCATGAAATTTATACTCATTAATTTATTTTTTATAATTTACTCTTCTTATATAAATCAATCTATCCTTTTGCGAAAGAGGAGTATAAATGGCAGGGAAGCTGTTAAAAGTTTTAATTAATTTATCACCCCTATACATTCTCTCTTAAACTGTGTGATTCTTTTAGCGTAACCATATGAATAGTAGCGATCGGATACTACTACCTCTACCCCACTTGTGCATCTCATTTTCCATTTCGGTCTGTCATGGAATATTTGGTCATACACTCATACCAGATTTGGTCATTTTATTAGATTCAAATTATTCATATTTTACAAATTCAATATCAATCGTATGATGCCACATTTTCTTAGTTTGCATGCCACAATATATTGTCACAAACATAGTGAAGCAGAGGGAGTACTTAATAATTGTTTTTTTGTAAAGCACACTTGTGTCTTACAAGTAATTTTACATGTTATCAACTTACAAAGCTTTCAGCTTACAATGAACATCTAATTTACCAAACATCTTTCTATAAACAGTTGATACTAGTATACTACCAACCAGTCAAACAGCTAAGACAACCCGCTTGCAGCCAACAATCAATTATCAAACGAGGCCAATGTCTAATCTCTCTTCTCCAATGAGTTCTACTCTGTCAACATCTCAAGGGATATTTCCTCCTACGTTTGGTGCATGTGAATCCGAGTCTGCTAGTGACACTGATGTAGTTGAGTTGCATTCTGTAATATGGAACCAAGACTACAGTTGCTTTGCTGCTGGTACAAGCTGTGGTTTTCGCATATATAACTGTGATCCTTTCAAGGAGACTTTTAGACGTGATCTCAAAAGTGGGGGGTTTGGGATTGTCGAAATGCTATTCAGGTGCAATATTTTAGCCCTTGTTGGTGCTAGGGACAATACTCAATACCCACCAAACAAAGTTATTATTTGGGATGATCATCAAAGCAGGTTGGTTTCTCATATAGTTTTACATCATCTGACTCATCGCCATCTCATGATAACCGATGATGATGACACTTCTATAACTTTCTTCTTTTCATTCACCCTTAAGAAACTTGCGATGGGAAGGATATCGAGCGGATACCATTTTCAATACGTTTTTATTTTTCTTAAATATGTTTTTTCGTCCTTGTAAATATAAGTTTTTTTATTTTATTTTAAGGTCTTTATGAAACTATTATATTTTTGTTACTCATCCTTGTACTTGATGTTTTTATTTTTAGTCTCCTTGCATCAACTTTCGCTGAAAATCTGATGTGGTTTACAGAAAACAACTTGGCGTTTCAGCATGATTTAACTAAATGTTCAATATGTTATTTCCTATGAGCCAGAAATGTGTAAATGCAAGTGGAAACGTTGTGTTTTGCTTTTCTCTCGTTCCCTTAATGGGCTCAAAAGAGTTACAAAAACACAGTGGAAAGGCTACTCCAGAGTTGTGTGAGATGTTACTTTTTTACTACAGGTCAACCGAAAAAGACTTGAGTTATAGGGATGGATATCAAAAAATGATTTACATGGACCTTTAAAAAAACTATATTTGAGGGGATAAAAGCATATTTAAGCCTCTTCTTGCATGAATTTAGAGTGTCAACTGGTTATAGGATGAGTAACACTATAAAATATGTCATCGACCAAATTGATTGGGGTTTTGGTGTTCATAATGATGATCAAAGCAGGTGCATTGGCGAGTTTTCTTTTAGATCCGAGGTTCGTGCTGTGAAGCTAAGACGTGACCGCATTGTTGTCGTGCTTGAATACAAGATATATGTATACAATTTTATGGATCTAAAGCTTCTTCATCAGATAGAGACTTGCCCAAACCCCAGGGGACTTTGTTGCTTGTCACACAACTCAAACACATCTGTTTTGGCTTGTCCGGGCCTTGGAAAAGGACAAGTACGGGTTGAGCATTTTGGATTGAACGTGACAAAATTAATCAAGGCTCATGATTCTCAAATAGCTTGCCTAACCTTGACAATGGATGGGCTTCTTCTTGCCACGGCTAGCACAAAGGGAACTTTGGTAAGAATTTTCAATACAATGGACGGAACTCGGTTGCAAGAGGTACTTTCTTATGTCAACCTTAGTCACTGGTTTTGGAGAAGTATTTTAAATTTGTTCACTGTTTTCAAACGTGAAAAGCTATAGCTGTTTTTATAGTTAAACCCTCTTCTATTATTATAACCTTTTTGTAGTAATACATCGTTGTTAAGTCATCTCACATTGATAAAATAAGAAATACAAACTTAAATGATAGGCATTTGGTTACTACTCTTATATCGTTTAGTACAGAACCCAATCTTAAAAAGAAATCATACTCATTCAGCTCAAAAAAGCAGTTCTCTATGGGAGGTCTAAAAAACCTCATACACTTTATGATTGGCCTTTTTGAATGAGCAGTCTCTTGAGGGGCATGTTAAGTCGACCAGAATTGAAAAAATATAAATATATATATCCCATATAGAAGATTTTGGAATTTAGATTACTAGAGAGGTCTTTCTGAATGATTCTAGAGTTATGTGATGTAAATATAGATTGTATCTTAAGTCTTAACTTGTCACTATAGATACTTTAACTGACTCTTGTACTTCCACTTCCCAATAGGTTCGAAGAGGTGTAGACAAAGCCGATATCTACAGTATAGCACTATCACCTAATGTTCAGTGGTTAGCCGTGTCTAGTGATAAAGGCACCATTCACGTATACAGCCTAAGGGTGCGAATTATTGGGGAGGATGTTGCAACTGATACCAGTGCTGCTTTTGGAAATCAAGCTCAGCTTTATCAACAGCATTCATCAACTGCTCTTGATGCTCTTATTTCTCCAAGCATGGGCGCCAACCCGGGATCATCATTATCTTTCATGAAAGGTGAGAATTTATTTCTTAACGCATAAGTCACCCTAAACTTGTCAAAGGGATCATCTAGCCCCTAATGCAAGTGAAGTAACTCATTAATGACCCTGAACTTAAAAAAGGTCCTGATTCGTAAAAACAGCACCATCATCATCAATTTTTTTGGCATTTTGCAATACCATTGACTATAGCTTTCTGCATATACATCATGTATAAGGTCATTAAATTTATTTTTCTAAAGTTCAAGACTTCAAGGTCATTAACTCATTAATGAGTTATTATTTATTTAGTTTATAAGCTTTTAATTCAACTTTTGAAGAGTTCAGGAACAATAAGAGTTGAAAGTTCATGATCATTTCTAACCAAAGGTTTTCTTTTCATTTTACAGGGGTTCTACCGAAGTACTTTAGCTCGGAGTGGTCATTTGCTCGGTTCCACTTGCCAGAGTCTACCCAATTTATTGCTGCTTTTGGATCTCAGGATACAGTTATTGCCGTTGGGATCGATGGGAGGTAGGGGGACACTATTCTTTACGGGTGTCATCAAGGTGTTGTTTGGTAACGTTTTGCTTTTGCTATCATCTCTCCTGAAATTAGGAACAAGATGTGCTTGACACTTGACAGTAGTGTTTTTGTTTTCAGTTTCTGAAAACCAAAACAAACAATATCTGGAAACTTGGTGAATCCATTGGTTTCATATATTTGCTTCTGACTTTGACACCAAAACATTTGGATTTTTCTATTTAGCCAAGATATTTTATTCTTGATAACAAATACACAGTTAGATCATATGGTACGGTACATTAAAATAAGCCTACCAAACATGTTTTATATTATGAATTCTGGAAACATAAAACATAAAACAAGAAATATTGCAAACTAGTAAAATCCCTATGTTTCCCTTGGATGTTTTTATTTTTTATTCGTTTTTTTGGACAACTATTTTTTATTCGTTTTATTCAGGGGTTTGTTGAAAAAATGTAGTCAGCCAACTCAACTTATTACTTATCTGTTCACTAATCTCTTTTTAAATCTTCCATCACTAGTTTTTACAGGTGTAGTTTTGACCCTGTGAATGGAGGTGAGATGGTGCAGCAGGAACATGTTTGCTTTCTGAAAACGAATAGTAGTGCTGCTGCCAAGATATATAGATAGACCCAACTTTATTTCAAATTTTGTTCTCTTCCTCTTGTAAATGCGCCATTGGTTTATTATTTGGATGTAAGTAAGAAAAATAATTCCGATGCCATTCAGCTGATGATGAATGATGATAGATGTTAATAATAATAGTAATCTTATCAATGCACATAATTTCCATTCGTTTGTAGAAGACCCGAATGCTAAAAAAATGATACAGTAGTATATATTGCCAATTTTGTGGGCATTCGTTTTCATTCATTGTTGCAAATTGGTAAGTTGTGGGGGATGAATATCACATCTAATAATAATCTAATAGTGCATAGACTACCATATACAGTTTTGACTTGTTCCTCCAAAATTCCAAATATGCATGTTCAAGTTGAGTTTGGTTATGTTCAAGTTTTTATTAGAGAGAAAGGATCATTATAATTGACATTATAGTTGCACGTTAATTTCATATTTGACACTAAAGTGTCAAACGGATCAAATATGCATGAATTTAACATTTTTTTGGTCAATTTTGAACACATGCCAAAGGTTCTCCATTTTTCATCAATAAAAATCATTAATATTAATTTTCTATTATTTTTATACCTAAAAATAACTTAAGTGATGAATTTAGATTTATAAAATATAACTGGATATTCCAATAAGGAAAAACTCAGAAATATTACTCTGTATTATGTAACTAAATTCTTTAATTTCACTAAATCCAGTTCACAACTCTCATGAAATTAAAAGTAATAACTATATTTTCAACTTCTTATATGAAATGTTTTCAATTAAAATATTGAATTATACTAGTAAAATCTAAAACTTTGAATTATATATTATAAAACTAAGGATGTTTTCGTTTTGATTGAAATTTTCTGGTCTAATTTGATTTGGAGTGATAATGTATGATCTTTGTGATTATTCTCACATATTTTACAAATGTTGAAGTTTGGTATGATTTGATATAATTTGATTTAAGACCAAAACAAGTGAAGTAAAAACATTTTAAGTTCTGCGGAAGAACGAATCCATGGGCATTGGGCAGTCTTCACGGGTCTCGGTGGCCCGGGGTGCCGATGATTTCACATTTATTCTTTGCAGATGATAGCCTTCTTTTTTCAGGGCAACACATGGTGAGGCGGCTCTTGTGAAGGAGATTTTATTGGATTATGGCGATGTCTCTGGACATGTAATAAATTTCAATAAGTCCAAAGTTTTCTTCAGTTCAAATGTCGGGGCTGATTGTAAGGCAGGGCTCAAGGAGTTGCTTGGAGTGGGGCTGGCAGGGAGTGATGAAAAGTATCTGGGTTTACCGGCTCTAGTTGGTCGACGCAAAAAAGATATTTTGGGGTTTTTGAGGCAGCGGGTGGTGAACCGTATCAATAGCTGGAATAATAGATTTCTTTCTAAGGAAAGTAGGGAGGTCTTACTAACATCTGTGATTCAAGCGATGCCAAATTACGCAATGAATGTTTTTCTTGTGCCTGATGAGTTGTGTAGAGAAATTGAAACCCTTATGAACGGATTTTGGTGGAAGGGTAAGAATGGTAAGGGGATTCGTTGGAAAGATTGGGCTTTCTTAAGTAGACCAAAAAAATTCGGTGGTATGGGTTTTAAAAGGCTTAAGGAATTCAATCTTTCATTGCTCACTAAACAGGCATGGAGAATTTTCACAAATCCAGACTTCCTTGTTAGCAGAGTTTTTAAGGCTCATTATTTTTCGTAGGTGGATTTTTTAAATGCTAATATTGACCCCAACCCCTCGTTCATATGGAGGAGTCTCCTCCAGACTCAGGAGGGGATACAGAATGGATATAGGTGGCGGGTGGGGAATGGGAAATCGATTGATATTTGAGAGGAACCCTGGTTGCTCGATAAGGATAATCCTAGACCGACCACGCCAGTTGGTGCGGGGTTACATAATACTACTGTGGATAATCTTTTTGATACCTCGGGAAGAGCTTGGGATTTTGATATTATTAGAGATTTATTTTCTGATAGTGATGCATTATTGATCCAGGGCATTCCGACCATCCGCGTCCAGTGCCAAATTTGAGATGTTGGAGGTGGGAGGAAGATGGCCATTTCTCGGTTAAAAGTTGCTATCGGTATCTTGCAGGTGAGTTTAGTTTGGCAGAACAAGGTAACCGGACATCTATGTGGACATGGGAATTACCTCCGAAAATAAAAAAAAAATTCTGGCAAGTGTATAGCGGATGTCTCCCGATCAGAACCTCAGTATTGGTTTACTATTAAAAAATTTTCTGGCTAAAGCGGCATGTTCTATGTCTGATCCTCAGTACTATTCCCCCATTATTTATTTCTTCTGTAATCGACAATGATTTGATTAATGATAATTAATCTTCTTTCTCTAAAAAAACATTTTAAGTTAATCAATTAGGTTAGTTTTATTTACACGGACTCATGAAAGTGAATTCTCTTCCGATTGAAGTTCATGCTGTAATATTCTTGTAAAAAACCCTATCACTTTTCTATGAAATGAAATTTGACAAAGTTTTTTTTTTTTTTGCTTTTTCAAAACCACAAAGACCATCAGAGTAAAAAAGTAAAGAAGTAAAACTAATAAATTGACTTTTATAGTCCAAATTTGATCAAGAGATAATACATTAATACGTTGATGTTCCAGCTATAAATTGAACATTTTTCACCAAACAAATTGCAATTTAAAATCAATTGGATCTATGGTTCAAAGAACCATTCAAAAATGTCATTTGTTTTTACATATTTTCCCCATTCTGCAAACATGTTCCTACCTTGAGTAGTTATTAAAATTCACAAAAAGTTTACTTAAATATATCTTCATCAAATGAAATGTAAAGAAAACTTAAAAATTATAATGCCATTTACTTACTGTAAATTTTAGTTTTATGGATGTGTGAACATTATTTTAGAATGTACAAATAATGTATGCAGTTGTTTTTTGGGACGGAAATAGTATTAATAATATTCTGTTTTAAGTTTTAAGTTTTAAGTTTTAACCCATTTTGAGATGAAATAAGAAACATTACGGAGCACCATAAAAATAACATCGGCCTTCTGTAAAAGTCAAATCGGGTTAGAATCTTTGAAATGCAAACCAGATTGGAATAAAAAAAATGTGGCTTTAACAAATTTCCATTCAAATGAAATTGAAATTCCCCCGCTGCAGCCTTGTGTCGCCGCCCTCCTGTCTCCTCTCAAACGTATCTTGACTCCCTCCGGCAGTTTTGTCGTGGGTAATAAGTGTGCTGGGAAGCCCTAGATTTTCAGTATCCACGTCTGGAGATTTAGGGTTCTTACAAATTATATTTATTCGCGGGAAACCAGTTTCAGTCTCCCGAAACCCGGAGATATTGTCTCCGAGCTGATCAGTGTGTCTGCACGCCGATGTGTCTGCAGTTTCTCTAGATTTGGTGTGCAACTGGGGCGAATTTAGGTAATGGACGGAAGGAGAATTACGGCGAGTCCCCGGCCGTGCATCGGCAGGCGAGTTGTGGCTAAGAAGCGACCTCGCAGTGGCAAGGATGGGTTCGTGAACAGCGTCAGAAAGCTTCAGAGGAGGGAGATCTCCTCTAAGCCTGACCGGGCTTTTAGCATGAGCGATTCCCAAGAGCGATTTCGAAACATTCGATTACAGGTTCACTGCACCGTTTCTCTAAAACATTTGAATTGAATCTGTTATCACCATTATTTTATCTATATTATCAAAGTTCAGATTTGACCCAGCTAACTACTGGGTAAAAGGATTTAAGAGCTTTTTTACACTTTGGATATTGTCGACTCTAAGATGCGTATCAGAAATCATTATTTAGCTTATAAGTGGGCTTGAAGAACAGACAGCACATGTTTTGATATTTATTTCATAGTCTCACAGTGAACTACAAATTCCTTTTAAGTTGAATGCAATTGATATACTGTAAATAGAAATAGCAGGTTTACTTATGCGTGGAGTGTGGATGAGCTTTAATTTGTTTTGTTTTTTCATATTGAAGATGCAAGATTGAAGAGCGAAGCCCGTTTTTTTGGGGGGAAATGTTTTGCTAAACAACTTAAGTTGCTGAAATTGCTTAATTGATTGTATGGATCCATTAAAATATTTCAAAAATATTTGTTTTTTAAAGAATATGATATATGGAGTATTAGAATAAATATTAAAATAAATGTAATAATGTCTTTTTCTTCTATTTCAGCCAAATATGTTATTTCTGTATTAACTTTTTTATTGATTTAATATGGTTTCAGGAGGAATATGATACCCATGATCCTAAAGGATATTGTTCAATGGTGCTACCATTTCTGAAGAAAAGGTCTAAGATTATTGAGATAGTAGCTGCACGTGATGTTGTCTTTGCTCTTGCCCAATCTGGGGTCTGTGCGGCATTTAGCCGAGGTAAGTATGTATTATATCATTTATATGATTTGAACTTGGCGCCTAATTTTTATTTATGGCTGTGCCTAGAACTTGAAAAATGGTAAGGAAAGGAAAGTAATGGCTGTAATGCTGTGGTATTAGGTAATTGTGGTTTTTAATATTTTGTGTTGCCTTGGGAAATTCCAAGGAAAATCAAATTTGTTCAATACTTTATATGGATTCCAGTGTCTTCGTGTAGTATAAATATCTTAATACAAAAAGTTTAAATAAGTATCACATATTGTTTTCTTGAGTGATCTAATGCAAATAATTTGAACAAATATGAAAATCTATTTATTTAATTTGAACATAATTTTATTTTCTCCCACATTTCATCTCCTTCAAAATTAACTTTCTTTTTCGTCCCGACTTTCATCCCTAGCATTGTCCAAGTTCCAAAGGTACCCTAAAATCTTAGGTGGAATGCAATTTCTCGAATGCTAATATTGTAGCCACATGTTTATATTACTGATACAGAGAGCAACAATAGGATATGTTATCTGAACGTCAGTCCAGATGAAGTGATACGGAGTTTGTTCTTCAATAAAAACAATGATTCGCTCATCACTGTTTCAGTTTACGCTTCAGATAATTTTAGCTCTTTGAAGTGTCGCACCACTAGAATCGAGTATGCAACTATACACTTTAGCTCTTTTACACCTTTATTTTTAATCTTTTGTTCTTCAAATAATTGGTTGAATCTCCTGAAAGGAAAAGCATTTGGTGAATCCATTTCTGCTGAGAAGCAAAATAAGCTAATTGATGATACCAAATGGGCTTTAGTTGTAGCATATGTTCAGTATATTGTTGAATGTTGATAATGTGATAGGTATATAAGAAGAGGTAAACCAGATGCTGGATTTGCTCTTTTTGAGTCTGAGTCATTAAAATGGCCTGGCTTTGTAGAGTTTGACGATGTAAACGGGAAAGTGCTGACCTACTCTGCGCAAGACAGGTATATGCTCTGTTGGATGATCCCATACATCTTTGGTTCTAATCCTATTTTTTTGGGCTATAAGTTTAATGTTGCGAATTTGTATTTGATCAGCATATACAAGGTATTTGACCTGAAGAATTATACGATGTTATACTCTATATCAGATAAAAATGTTGAAGAGATTAAAATCAGGTAAGTCCACATGCAATTTTGCAAGTATGTATAAGCTTGCTTTATTATATATATTGTGTGATATTCCTTCCGTTTTGATTCCAGAATTACTAGGGAAAGATAACCGTAAGGAAAATGTAAAGGAATATTGGAAGAAAAAACATGGGTGATATGAAATAGAGGCTAAAAGCCTAAAGGGCAATAGGTTTTGCTTTTGATATTTGTTAGTATATTCATTATATTTATTTACGTCTATTCAATAAAGATTAGGGTATATAAGTTTAAGCAAATTTTCATTGATAATTAATTAATTATCATATTCCATTTCCCTTTGCATTTTCCAAGTTAAAACTAATTATATACATCGACTTTCCTTCAAGTCTAATTTACTTAAGCAAGAAACTGCTTGTATTTTCTCTAATTTTATGTCGTGTTTCTGTTTTGAAACCATAGTCCAGGAATTATGTTATTAATATTCACCAAAGCAAGTTGCTATGTTCCTCTAAAGATTCTCTCCATTGAGGATGGTACTGTCCTAAAATCTTTCAACCATCTGCTTCATCGTAATAAGAAGGTTGACTTCATTGAACAGTTCAATGAAAAACTACTTGTCAAGCAAGAAAATGAGAATCTTCAAATTCTGGATGTGAGTGATCTTACTGACAACCTTATCTCATCCACCAATATAGTGAAGAATCTAATGATTAATTTAGAGTTCATTTGTGATTTGGTCCATTGGCTATACACTATTACTTAGTTTGGTCGTACACAGACTTTCTTTTAGAATCAATTTATTTCCTACTAATAAAATTATGGCTGGATATAGTCCATGCGTTTTTTTTGTAAATTAGAGGGGTACTTTTGTTCATGAGGACTAAAATGGACCCATATTACACAGTTGGTCAAAATTGTGTCTGAAATCGGGTCGTATTTAAGTGAACACTGAAAAGATAAAGAAACCTTCTTCCTTTAGAACCAAATATATACTCCCTCCGTCCCAGAAAATACTTCCCACTTTGACTTGACACGCCTATTAAGAAAGTGGGAATAAAGTGAAAATGTATGGTTGTGGTTGAGTAAGAAAAATGTAAATGAATGTTAGCCACACAAAACTTTCTAAAAATGGTAATTGGGAAGAATTTGTGGGATGGCCCGAAATGGAAAATTGGAAGAATTTTTTGGGACGGAGGGAGCATGATAGAATAAAATTGGGTTCAATTATGCCATTGAGGAGGTCTGAATTTGGTCTAAATTAAGTTAAGCGACATAGTTACTCTTTTATTTATTATTATTAGTATATTTGAGAACTTAGTTGGGTCTAATTTACACCCAAATTAGTTCCTAAATCCAGTCTAAATTTCCTGGGCAGACAAAAATACCCTTCTTGTTTAGGGCCAAATATGCATGAGAACTAAGTTGGGTTCAAAATTCGAGTTGAGAACCAATTTAGTCCAACAAATAGTTTATAACCAAATCCAGTGATAGTGTGTAGTCGAAGGACCAAGTCAAGCATTAACTTAAATTATATATCATGTTTAGGTTCGCAATTCTGAGTTGACAGAGGTCAGCAGGACCGAGTTCATGACGCCGTCGGCTTTCATATTTCTTTATGAGAACCAGCTGTTCTTGACATTCAGAAACAGGACAGTTGCCGTTTGGAACTTCCGTGGGGAGTTGGTAACATCATTTGAGGATCACCTTTTATGGCATCCTGACTGTAATACTAACAACATTTACATCACTAGTGACCAGGACCTAATCATATCATACTGCAAAGCTGATTCTGATGACCCTCTATCTGAAGGAACTGGTAAGTTGTCCAACTTTAAGCACCTTGTTTCGTTCAAATAAGTCCACGTACTGTTTCAAAAATGTCAATTGAGCCCATGTACTGTTTGATCAATCAATTAAGTATACAAAGTCTCAAACTTCAATCAAAATTTCCATTTTACCGGTAAACAACTGGTAACCCCCCCTGTGTCGCTCACGTGGATGTCGCTTGGACTTTTTTGGTACTATCTGTTTTCCTTTTCTTTTTCCTTCCTTTCCCTTTTTCTATTTCTTTCTTTCTTCCTTTTTTCCCTGGTTCGTATTCCCCTTCTTCTTCTTCTTCTTCTTCTTCTTCTTTCCCTTTTGTTTCCTTTTCCCCTTCTCCCTGCAACTCTTTCTCCCGGTCTCCCCTCCACTTTTGAACAAAAACCAAACTAAGGGGTAACATATATCAATGCATTTATAAAAACATGCATATCCTGAAAGTGATAATTATTCTGTGGCATCAGTATGTTAATTTCTAACTTAAACATTTGTTTTTTCTCCCTTTTTTGAGCAGCTGGTTCCATCAACATCAGTAATATTTTGACAGGAAAATGCCTTTCTAAAGTCAAAGCGACCAATGCTATTACTCGTAGCAGTTGCAATTGTAGCAACGGTTGTGGGGCTAGAAGCTGCAAGTCCAAACATGTCCATACATCTAGAATTAGGAGCAGTGTATCGGAAGCTCTAGATGACATCACTGCTCTCTTTTATGATGAAGAGCGGAATGAAATCTACACTGGGAACAGACTTGGGCTTGTACACGTCTGGTCTAACTAACTCCTTTTTGACCTTTTCCATTTTCATCCATCCTAGAAATCGTATTGGCTGCACTTTTACCATATAGTGTGTGACTGTATATTTGGTGTGTTGGGTGGTTATAGATGAGAGCTCATGTAAACTTAGAGCTATCTATGGAGTCTTCTGAATTGTTGGGTTAATTTGGTCCCCTTAATTTTGTGGTATAGCCATTATAATGATTTACTAGTAAGATGTATTGTATTGAAACCTGCACAATTCAAGTGCTTATAGAATTGCCATATGTTGCTCTAATTTATCAACATAGCATGAATGGGTATTAATAGGGATGGACCCGGGCCGGTCCGGTTCTGGTTCCGGGCTGGGGCCGGCAGGCTTTTTTCCTAGATACTTGGGCTCGGAACCGGCCCGGGTTGATACCAGGTCCGGTCTGGGTCAGGCCTACCTGGCCGGGTAGCGGGGCGGGCCGGGGCTATTTATTTATTTTTTGTTTAAATATTATATTAAGATTACTTGGACATAAAAAAGTTAAAATATATTTATTTGAAATATGTAGTACGATTGAAAATTGAGCAAAAATTAAAACATGAAATACACTTTTTAATAAATAAGAATCAATCGGAATTTCCGCCATCTTCGGTTGTTTCTTCCATAAAGTGGTGGATGAGTTCAATGCTAATTTCTTGAGTTCTACGTTTGGTCTTCAACTAATCGTGGAAGCAAACAAGTGTCTCAAGAGAGTTTGTGCTCAATCTCGTTCTATAATCCGTTAGGATGTTGCCGGTTGCACTAATCTCTTGTTCCACAACTGTTGATACCGGCATTGCTAGCACTTGCTTAGCCATCTTTGATAAGATCGGGAACATTGTCTCCTTTTCCTTCCACCACGGAAGAACGTCAAAGTTATCCCCTTCATACTCAACAGGAAATGTTAGATACAAAGAAAACTCGTTGATCGAGCTTTGCTCATTAATCGGAGTTAATTTACTTTTTTTTTCATAAAGATTGCAAAATGCAGATTTCGAAATTGATTTTCCTTTAGATGAAGAAGATGTTCGTGGCGGGGGAGGGGGTGCGTTACCATATTGTGCATGAAACTCATTAAATAATTGATATAATAAATTACTAACCTCTTGGAATTGTTTTTAGGGTCTATGGCCTTTTCGTCGTACAGAGGCAATGGACCAAAAAAGAAGCATAATAGTAATCTAAACATTGCTCCAAAGAAGCAAGTCTAAAACGAGGATCAAGAATAAATGCAATACTATATATATTCGGAATATATGAATAATATTAAAAAGACTTCATGACTTTTGTTTCATGAAGTCACAAAAATAACTAACGTAAGCGGCATCAGCAAATTCACAAAAAGCGCCAACGAGATTAACAGCTTCAACAAAAAATTGGTTTGCGGTAGGTTTATAAACATGACTAAAAATTTGAGTTGCATTATTAAAATACACCAAAACATTCACAATGTTTTCAATTTTGGGCCACGAACTATTGGGCCCGAACCGGGGGTCAAATGGGGCGGGCTTCGGAACTTAATTTTAGTGGACCGGCCCGTTTAGTCCGGGACCGGTCCGGGCCAATTTTTTATAGCTTTTTTGCATTGGGCCGCTGCTAGGTGGGTTGGGCTGGGTGTTTTGGCGGGGGTTGGGGGTAGGAATAAATTCGAAAAAACTAAATTTTTTAAAAAAATTAACCCGACCCAGCCCGGCCTGGTCCCAGTTCAAAACGGGGCTGGTACTGGGCTTTCAGCCCCAATCTCCAGTCCAGCCCAAAACCGGCCTGGGGCCCGGCCCGACTCGTGCCCGGTCCATGCCTAGGTGTAAGTGACAACACTAAAGATGTTTTTACTTAAACAAACGAGATCAGACTTACATAGTTATAAAATATGAGTAAAAACATCCGGTGAAATTTAATTCATTTCTTACCATGCCTTTTCGGCTTTTACCACATTACCACTTGCGATTTATGCAAAGCCGTGTTGTACGTAATTACCACGTTGGGCTCACAGTTGTGTACTTGTGTTTCTCCATTCTTTGAAGAACCTGGAACCTTGATTTACCATTGAATTCATGCAACACTCTTTAAATGTGTGCAAATCAGGGTTGACACCAAATGTATTGAACATTTCTTCATAGTGGTAGACTGGTAGACCATACCTATTCACTAGTAAAAATTTGTTAAATTGCGTCACGTCATTTGAGGCGCTTAATAAACAAGCGCCTTCAAAATATACGACGTGCGGCGCTTTTCTGTTTAAGCGCCTCTAATATGTGTTTAATTTTTTAATTATTTAATTTTTCGGGTCTTTGCGGCGCTTATTTATAAAAGCGCCGCAGACTGACGTCAAATTTTTATTCAAAAAAAACTATTTTTTTTGAAAATCGGATTTTTAAAAGAGGCGTGCGGCGCCTATATGCAGAAAAGCGCCGCATACGTGTTCCGATTTCGGATTATATTTAAAAAGCGCTGCAGAAAATAAATTACTTTTTTAAAAAATTCGGATTTTTAAAAGGGGCGTGCGGCGCCTTTTTGTAAAAAGCGCCGCAGAAAATAAACTACTTTTTTAAAAAATTCGGATTTTTTAAAAGGGGTGTGCGGCGCCTTTTTGTAAAAAGCGCCGCAGATGATAAACTATTTTTTAAAAAAACCGGATTTTTAAAAGGGGCGTGCGGCGCCTTTTTGTAAAAAGCGCCGCATAAACTGTTCCAGTTTATGCGGCCATAGCCGTCGCTCGCAGCAGATCGATCAGAGAAATAGATTTTTTCAGGCGGAAACCCTAAGCGTCGCTCCTCCGGTCCGCCGCTCCTCCGGTCCGGCGCTCCTCCGCTCACCTTGGTTGCGGACGTCGAAGCCAAGGTGGGACGTCGTCCGTCTGCCGCTCATCTTCGGAGGTTGCCGTCGCGCACGTCGCACCTCCGCCGCACGCACGTCGCACCTCCGCACGTAAGCCGCGCGCACGTCGCACCTCCGCCGCTCCTCCGGTCCGCTTACTCCAACCTCCGATCCGAAGGTATGTATATTTTTTAATAATAATTTTTTTCAATATTTTTTATTTTAATTAATTTTGATTAATATAATTTTGGAATAGTTGTAATGAGCAGCAAAATACTTCAAAGAGGTTGTTTTATATTAGCATAACCCTCAATTGCAATCTACATAAAAATTGTGCTTAAAAAGAAAAAAAGTATGCAATAATTTATTATTATTTTTTTATTTTTAGATAAAGTTTAGTGTTGTTAATCATGGATCGTAGCTGGATGTATGGTTTGAGAAATACTTCTCAATTTTTCAATGGTGTTCATGAGTTTGTGAAAGTGGCTGTTGCGCATCAGAAGCAACAAGGACAAAAAGGAATTTTATGTCCTTGTTCAATGTGCCGTAACATTAAAAGAGAGAATGACGTGAACATAGTTCTTCAACATTTATTTGAGAAGGGTTTTAGAGAAAACTATATGACATGGACATTCCATGGTGAGAATCGTGTGGATGTCGAACACCTTTTTTCTGGAGCAACTTCTAGTCATCTAAAGCGTAAAGCTACTCATATTACTACTACTTCAAATGATATTGATGATGGTGTTGCGGCTGATGATGCCAATGAAGATAGAATTGATGAACTCTTGAATGATGTTTATGATAATTTTGATTATCAACCAAAATCTTATGAGAATTTGATTGAGGCCGCCAATATACCGCTATTCACGGGTTCTGAATTCTCCAAACTATCTGCTGTTCTCAAATTATTTCACTTGAAAGCTAAACATGGGTGGAGTAATGTTAGTTTCACTGAGTTGCTGATATTGCTTCAAGAAATGCTTCCAGAAGGAAATACACTTCCCGATACGAGCTATAAGACTAGAAAGTTGTTGTGTCCAATGGGAACAGAATGGGAGAAGATTCATGCATGCCCAGCCGATTGCATATTGTACCGCAATGAATATGAAAACCTAAATGAATGTCCAAAGTGTCACACTTCACGTTATAAGAAGAAGAAGGGTATTAATGTTGGGTTTGATGCTGAATACACCAAAACACCTGCCAAAGTGTTGTGGTATCTTCGTATCATTCCTAGATTTAAAAGATTATTCATGAATGAGAAAGATGCAAAAAACTTAGTGTGGCATGCTCAAGGCAGGAAAAAAGATGAGTACTTGCGACATGTATCTGATGCACCACAGTGGAGGCAAATTGATTTGAAATATCCTGATTTTGGCAAAGAAGACAGGAATTTGAGACTTGGATTATGCACTGATGGTATGAATCCATATGGCACATTGAGTAGTCAACATAGTACTTGGCCAGTTTTATTGGTTATTTATAATTTGCCTTCATGGTTGTGCATGAAGAGGAAGTACATAATGTTGTCTTTGCTTATCTCAGGACCACAACAACCCGGTAATGATATTGATGTGTACCTCGCACCATTAGTTGATGATCTTAAACTTATGTGGAATGAGGGTGTTACAGCATATGACATGCACACAAAAACAAATTTTAATTTGCGTGCTTTGTTGTATTGCACTATTAATGACTTTCCAGCTTATGGAAATCTTTCTGGATATACAGTTAAAGGTGGAAAGGCATGTCCCATTTGTGAAGATGACACTCTTGATTTGCGATTACCCAATTGCAAAAAGAATGTATACATGAGTCATCGAAGATTTCTTCCACGAAACCATCGTTATCGTGCACTCAAAAAGGCATTTAATGGAAAAGCTGAACACGGTGTTCCTCGACGTGTATTAAGTGGATCAGAAATATATGATAAGGTCAAAGATTTGAACACGGTTTTTGGTAAGCCATATAAGCGGAACAAACAGAGTTTGTGGAAGAAGAAGTCTATTTTTTGGGAACTTCCGTATTGGAAGGACTTATCTGTGAGGCATTGTCTTGATCTTATGCACATTGAAAAAAATGTGTGTGACAGCATCATTTCGACCATTATGAATGTTCCCGGAAAGACAAAGGATGGAATTAATATCTGAAAAGACATGATTGAACATTTAAATATTCGAAAAGAATTGTTACCACAACCGTGGGAAAATGGTTTTTATCTTCCACCAGGTTGCTACACACTCTCAAAGGTTGAGAAACGAATTTTTTGTGAAAGCTTATATGGCATCAAAGTGCCTTCTAGGTATTCTTCAAATTTTAAGAATCTCGTATCATTGAAGGATATGAAATTGGTTGGTTTGAAGTCTCATGATTATCATGTTCTGATGCAACATTTGTTGCCTGTTGTTCTACGAGGGCTTTTACCTGATCATGTTAGATGTGCGATCATGAGATTGTGTTTCTTCTTCAATTCCATATGTCAGAAAGTAATTCACCCTGAGAAACTTGATGCGTTGCAAGCTGAAATGGTTATTACATTGTGTCAGCTTGAAATATATTTTCCACCTTCACTATTTGACATTATGGTGCATCTTGTGGTACATCTGGTTAGAGAAGTCAAGATGTGTGGTCCTGTGTTTTTACGATACATGTACGGAATGGAAAGACATATGGGATATTTGAAATATTTGACCCATTTTCATCAAAAATGAGGAGTGTTCCATGTGATTATAGGTGGTTAAATCCTAGTTAATTTCATTGTTGTGACTTTGACAAGGTCAACCGACTTTTTAAATAGCCCCACTAAGGCATTATATTTAACGAGACTATCAAAGAACCTGTATTAAAGTTCAAAAATGCCAGGGGTTCATCATTTTTTGTACCCAATTCGCACACAACATCTGTCTACGCAGACAAAGTTGCCTGTCTGTCTATACAGACAACTCTGTCTGCGTAGACAGATGGTGTGTGAATGGGGTACAAAAAATGAGGTACCTTAGCATTTCTCATTAAAGTTCCATAACATTGTTCCTGTGTTTTTATAGAATTGCCATATTTTAGTCTAATTTATCAACATAACATAAATGAGTATGACTAATTTATAAAACATAATTGGTGCACAGTATACAAATGGAACAAAACTGAAATATAGTATGAAATAGAAGCTTGATATGGGTAATTATACAAAGTGCAGTAGATCTTTTAATAATTAAATTAGAAATACTATACCCATATTATTTGAGAACGTTGGTTTTGATTAATGCTATAACGAAATATAAAATAAAGGCCTTTGTCAGTTGAACTATTAAAAAATCATTACACATATAAGGTTTATATAAACAAAAGGGCTTGCACTTCATGGAAGTTGCCTACGTATTCTCTTTAGAGAAATCAAAGCCCACGTAGTTCTTTATCGTTTATACATTAATTCAAACACTAGAATATTACACAGAAAGTTAATTATATTCATCTACTCCTACTCCTGCAAATAAAAAATGGTATAGCTAGCTAGGCAGCCTGCTATCTAGGAGTGAGGATGCTTTTGCAGGCTTGAAAATATGGAGAAGCAGCCTACACTTTTAGTGTAATGTAGTTTTCTTGATGTATCTTGAGATGCAGGGATTGCTTCTAGCATCTTCACCACCATCTCCATCTCCGGTCTCTTGCTCGAATCCGAATCCAAACACAATGTCATCACATCTGCTAAGCTCTTCGGGCACGAATCTGGTATGTCAAGTTTTTGACCCTGAAGATTCATAAAAAGAATGAATCTCATGTTGGTGAAAATAATATATATTTGATGAAAACGAGTAATATATAGATAATGGAATTCCGGACATGAATATTTCTCTCTCTATATATATACCTGGTCGACAATGAATGTGCAAGTGTAGATCTCCCACAAGCAAATTCCAAAGCTATATATGTCACACTTGTGGTCATATTCCTTTCCATCAAAGACCTCCGGGGCCATATAACCTTGTGTTCCCGCACTAGCCGTCATCAAGTTCTTATTTGCTGCCTCCAATCGAGAAACTCCAAAGTCCACGAACTTCACATGTCCTTCTTTGTCAAGAAGCAAATTATGGGTCATGACATCTCTGTGGATGATTTTCTTGGAGTGAAGGTAACACAATCTGTAGTAATTCAACATGTTAAGCGTTAGGAAATACATTAAATCCCACATGTAATAAGAAATAAATGACTTCAAGTGTATAGTAATAGTATAATATAAGTGTGTTACCCCTTGGCAATATCAATAGCAAAGTGAACAATATCCCTCTCGGAAAGCTTCTTATTCCGGTGTCTAGAAAGGTGTGTCCGGAGAGAGCCACCGGCGAGGTATTCAACCACCAGGCAGAAGCCATTCTTGGGCACTCTAAAGCTGTGTTTGGGTATGATATTCACCTTTGATATGCTCCTTATTCCTCCAATAAACTACACACAAATTAAACAAGATTCAATGAACATGCATACACATTATATTGGCATGCAAATTAGCTTAGGAAGAAAAATGTGAAAAAAACTAATAGCTATATGCCTACATATATGTCCTTATTGGGCTTTACCTTTGCAACATTAGGATGGTCCAAATGATACCAAACAGACACTTCTTGGAGGAAATCTTTTTCCACTTTCTCCCTTGTATTTACGTCTTCCCATTCGAACACTTTGACTGTGGCAATTAATCAAATTGAGTTAATTAGTTAATTGCATTATATATATATATGGATGAACAACACAGACAAACCAATTAACCATACCATACAAATTAAAGAGATTATATGTACCATACCTTAATATATATACGTAAATATGTAAATATTGAATACGATAGTAATTATTGATGTACCAAAAAAATATACTTCGTACCAAGTATTACCTACTGAATAAATAAATAAATACTATGGACACACACATATATGCATACAATACTTGCATGCAATATACTCGTATATGGATAAACCTAATTAATTTATCCAGACCATAATTTTATAAAAATGAATGAATAAATAAATATATAGATAAATAAATGAATAATTTTATAAATAATTAATGAATAATAAATAAAATAATTAAATAAATAAATAAATGAAATACATTTATGCATGGATATGTGTAGGAGTTACCTGCAACATCAAGACCGTTGTATGAGCCTCTGTAGATGAATCCGGATGCACCTTCAGCGATGAGAGCTTTGATCGTCAGTTTCATGGGGTCCAACTGCCATCCTTCCGCCGGAAGCGGCGGATGCCTTTCTCCAGCCTCCTCTTTCAACTCCGTTGACCGCTGGTGGCAACCCTTTTCCGCCGACCCAAACAGTGGATTTCTTCTTACGCCGCCGGATTTTGGGGTTGACTTGAGGCGACCCTTTTCTTTGAGAAGATTGTCGTATTCCATTCCGAGCAGTAGGTCTTCCGTCGGAAACGGACGATTTTTTCCCCGGCCGGCCGGTGCACCCTTTTCCAGGATGTTGAAAAGTCGGTCAACGTGGGGTTTGAGCTGTTCGTCCATCCTTTTCAAATCCAAATCCATTGCCATAACCATTTTCAATTCGATCAATTCCTTTCTTCTTCTGCTAATGATTTTCTCCAACTTTGATGTAGCTAGGGTATAGTATGTATTAAAGGTAATGCGGAGAGTTATATATATACTCTGTACTTCGTATGTTGCTAAAATACTGTCGCCGCCACAGCAACGTAAATACTGCGTACTTATTACTCCGTCTATCATTTAGAAGCTTCCGTAAAATAGATGGAATGTTGATGACAAATTTATCCCTAAAAATACGGAGTACTACATTGGGTTAGGGATAGCCTGAGTCGGGTTGACCCGAACCGGAGCTGGCCCGATCCCGGCACTGTTTATTCCCGGCCTGGCCCGGTCATTTTTAGGCTCGGAGCCCGGCACGGTCTTGGCCCAGTGGCTATAAGGACAGTCTTCGGGCTCGTTTTTTAGGCCCGACCCGGTCGGCCGGTCCCGACCCGGTACTATTTAGGCCCGACCTTACCCGGTCCTGGTACAAATCTGGGCCGGTACATGGCCTAAATTTTAGTCCCGGCCCGGTCCCGGTCCATCCCTACATAGGGTCGAGATGTACCACAATATTTGATCTATTATACGGAGTATATATTTATTGAAAATAATTTATAATATAAAATGATATGAAGATGTTTTTCGTTAAAAGTACTTTCATTAAATTATAAAATTTTTAATTTCAATTCCATATATTATACTAATCAAAATTATGGTCCAAACTTTAAAAAATAACTAAGGACACGTTTACTTCACGGGTTAGTAAACGGTGCTTATTAAGACTCGCGTTAATAAACGGCACATAAAATAAGCAAAGTTGTAAGCTCATGTTTACTTCCAATGATTTAAAACACCGTTTAACATTAAATTGTACAAAATAACCTTATAGATATATACACACACAAACATTCATGAACACAAGTATATAATATAATATGTGGGGTCACGTCGTACGCTTAGTCGCTTGCCCACACCCCTAACCCCTATCCCGCCCTCTACCCCCACCCCTAATTCCACACCCTTGACCCCCACCCCTTCCCTACCCTTACCCTTACCACGACCTTACCCTCCACCCCTACTCCCACCCATACCAACCCCCCACCCTGCTCGTAGGGGTTGGGTAGAGGTAGGGGCAGGTGATATGGGGTAAAGGGGTAGGGGTCGGGGTATGGTAATGGGAGTGGGTTGGGGTCGGGGTGGGGTCAAGGTAGGGGCAGGTGGTAGGGGTAAAAGGGCAGGGTCGAGGTAAGGGTACAAGTGGGGGTAGGAGGTAAGGTCGGGGTAGGGAAGGGGTGAGGGTGGGGTAGGGAAGTGTGTGGTGGGGGGTAGGGGTAGGGGTGGGGTGGGGTTGGGTCAAGGTAGGGGAAGGTGGTAGGGGGTAAAGGGGTAGGGTAAGGGGTGGGGGTGGGGGTGGGGTAGGACATGTGGTGGAGGGTAGAGTCGGGGTAAGGGGTGGTAGTGGAGGGGTCAGGATTGGGGTGGGGTCGAAGTAGGGGCAGGTGGTAAGCGGTTAAAGGGTAGGGTCGGGGTAGGATAAAGGTAAGGAGTACAAATTTCACCAACCCTACCGCCATCCTACCCCTACCCTACTGCCATCCTACCCCCCACCCTATCCCTTCCCCTACCTCAGCCCCACCCTGATCCCGGTCCCACCCTACCCCCATCCTATCCCAACTCCCTACCTTACCCCAACCTCAACCCTACTCACTATCCCCACCCTTACCCCTAACCTCCACCCTAACCCACCCACTACCCCACCCAACCCCGTACCCCTAGACCTTACCACCCCACCCCAACCATACCCCTTACCCCACCCCCACCCCTGCCTTCCTTCCCTACCCCGACCCCTACGAGTAGGAATGGGTGTGTATGTAGGGTTTTAGGGGAGTATGAGTAGAGTGTAAGATCGTGGTAAGGGTAGGGGTAGGGGTCAAGGGTGTGGAATTGGGTGTAGGGTGTAGGGTGGGGGTACGAGGTAAAGGGGTAGGGTAGGGGTTAGGAGTATGGGTACACGTACGAGGTGATTGACCCACATATTATATTATATATTTGTGTTCATGAATGTTTCTGTGTCTATATATGTATAGGGTTATTTTGGACATTTTAATATTAAGCGGTGTTTTAAATTTTTTGAAGTAAACATGATTTTATAACATTGCTTATTTTATGTGTCGCTTATTAACACGAGTCTTAATAAGCACCATTTAGTAACCCGTGAAGTGAACATATCAGTCTTATGGATGATCATAGAAGTGAAAAAATTGATGAACATGTTTTCAGATTTGAAAATGGAAAACTAGAAATAGAAACAGAAAACTAGAGATAGAAAAACTCAAAACTAAAAACAGAAAATTGGAGAACGAAAACAGAAGTAGAAAACAGGAAAATATCTCTATAAGTAAACAAGCCTTTAAATTTTAACCGATTTTGTCATTTGACCAGTAAACAATCGGTAACCCTTTATATTGGTGAAGTGGATGCCACCTAAGTTTTTTATACCTGTTGAAGGTAAGTCCCGTAGATCCGAAAGCCTAACACGAACTTTGGATATATCAGAAATGGACCAGAATCAAAGTGTATAACAAAATATAAAAGATGAATCCACTAATACCCAAAAGCCCACTTGTATTAATTAACCTGTCTGATTACAAAGAAAACTTCCCGATCGGTGGGTCGGAACAGTGCTTTAATACAGGAAACAAAAGTAATAATGCTATTCTAGAGCTTGAGTATTGAAATGCTCACCCTTACAATGATTTTAAACCTTCTATTTATACTAATGGAGAGCATGAGCTGCTCTATGCTGATTGGCCGTTGCTCCACCGACTTGATCATCCATGCTTCCACTTGCAGATGTCACAATCTGACATTAAATGCACCTGGCCACTTGTTGATTGCCCGTTGCTCGAACAGGATGCTGGACCTTGCGGATGAAGCTGTCAATTTGGCCCAAGTATGTCATATGGTCCGAACCCCGTTCGGTATGGATTTTTTACTGGGCCTGCTCATCATAGAGCAATGGATCCGTTGTTTAGGCCAGGTATCCTGGGCCTTTTTGATCCGGGTATTGGGCCTCTGGATCAATATCCCAACACAAGTCCCCCACTTCCGATGTCTCGAATGACAGTGAGTGCATTAGGAAGTATGAACACCAATGTTGCAACTGCCGAATGGCGATCGGGGTACAGAAGTGGTCAGTCCCCCATACTGTGATTTGACGGCTGTCGTTTTATTTTCCCCATATTCATCATGATAACCGTCGTTTAGTCTTTTCATTAGACACACGTTTAGCTTAAAATGCTTCTAGTGACGTGTCGCTTCCTGATTGGTCCTCGATACGGCGGTTTAAAGGCTATAAATTAGTCTTTAACTTTTCAAATTCGGGTTTCGAATCTGCAATTTCCTTCGCATCGTTGCTCTCTCTGAAATTTCTTCAAGCTTTCGTTGTTCAGGTACTTTCCCTCCCTCTACTTTCTCGCCTCATTCCTGGCTCGGTCGAGATGAATTCCCAACGGTGTTCTGATTCGGAAATGGCTTCTCAAGGGGAGGACCGTGATGTGGAGATTATCACCGTCCCTTTTGATGAGGGTTCCAAGGCGGCGACGGCGGAGGTTAGGGCGGAGACGGATGATTCCTCCGGCAGCTCTTCTTCCTCCAGTGAAGATTCTGATGATACCAAGTCCGAAGATGAGCTAAGTCCCAACGATTTCCCTCGTCATACACTTGACCTAAAACTGATTAGGGAGAGGCGGCAAAAACTGACCTCCCATAATAGGGCCGAAATTCCGGCCCTAATCCGAGACCCAGTGAATTTCCGACTGCGAGCCGGGCTTCACCCAATGCGCCATAGCCCAGGGATGGTTGTAGTCCATTTTGATTCAATCAGGGTCGGGCTTAGGTTTTCGTTACATTCTTTTTTCATTTCATTTTTTAATTTCTACGAAATTGCACCGGCCCAAATTATGCCGAACTCCTATCGGGCAATGGCGGGCTTTATTTTCCGTTGTAAAGATGTCGGTGCCCGGCCGACCTTAGATCTATTCCACCAATTCTTTAAGGTAGCCCCTCAACAAACACACGGCTATTTGGCCACTAGTGTCCGAACGGGACATATCCTGTTCAAGGGCAATCCGACTTCGATCAAGGGGTGGAAAGATCGGTTCTTCTTTGTGTCTGTCCCGGACGGCCTGGTTCCCCGCAAATGGAATGCCTTTCCCCGCAAATCTCCTGATCCAGTCCTTACTGAGGAAATTTACAAGGATGTGCTTGCTGTGGAGAAGGATAAATGCGTGGATATCATGAGTTATCTGACTCCCGATCAGCTAATCGAAGCCGGGATAGGTATTGCCCGTTCTCTTGGGTTTAGTTGTTTTGAGAAATCAAGTGCCATGGTCCGGGCGGTCCTTCTCGTGCGAGAAACGTTCTCTTCTTTTTTTCTAGTTTCTCACATGCTAAGGCCGCTCGGTACTAACATTTTCCTTTGTCATTTTTCAGCTCCAAATCCAGACGTACCTATGGACAACAGCAAAGTTCTTGCAGCTGGTGGGGTTGGCAAGCGGAAGAAAGCCAGAAAGAACCCCCAACCTACTCCCTCCACTATTACTGCTCAGGACGCTGGGTCTTCTCAACCAGTTCCAGAGCCATTACCACTGCAACAGGTCCATCAGGACCAATTTGATGCCATGCTGGTCGACGATCAGTTTGGTTCTGATCAGATGCACCAATTTCCTGAGCACTTCCAAGGTGCTCAGGAGACCGGTTAGGGTGCGGGTGATATGCCCACCGTCCAACTGTCTGGCCAGGTCGACCGGATCTCACTGGCGGATCCGGTTCATGACGTTGTAGAAAGAGGCGGATGTTCAGCAAGCCAGATTTGGTCTACCTCCACTTTCTTCAACAATTTCACCGTTCCTAAGCTGACGGTCGAGCAATCTGAGGAATGCTTGGTGCTGATCGTCGCTCAGACTTCTGCGGAGCAGAATGCAGCTGCTGCTTTTGCTGCTTTGGAAGCCGAACGGAAAGCCACTGTGGAGGAGAAAAAACGCCTCGAGTCGGAGCTTGGTGAACTCAGGGTTC